CAACCCCCTTTCTCCCAAGTGGAGGCGCCGCGACTTACTAACGAAGTTAGGACGCGCCCAGGTTGGGACGCGCTACTTGACATCACCGGTGAGACCATGGTTGTATAAAAACAATATTAATTATGCCGCGAAACCCTGTAAACTAAATATTTGAGAAAACATCACGCGCCTCTTATTTTGTACTAATCTTCAATGAAAGTCCCTACGAAAATACTTTTCTCCGTTTGTTCATACGCTAAAACATGCTTTCTTAAAGCTCATGGTGACCACCGGAAAGAAACAAAGATTAAGCCGCCATCTTGGCACCTCGAGCCTGGGAGTTTCGGTACTCTAAAAACATTCAGTGACCCTAGCAGTAGCCATATAAAGACTTTCATGTTTCAACTCGTCGCTAAATGGTGGCGCTGTTATCGCATTTAGTTCGGTCTCGGCAGACGCCAGCTGTCCAGGTTTCAAGGGTGAGTTTCCCAACTGAGTATTAGCGTCCGCTCTGCTCTAACTACCAAAATGGCGGCGCCAACAAGAAAACTGGGAAGTCGGTGCGGGTACGGGAAGCCTTCTGCCGCCGTTGTACACCAATTGGAATCGACCTACACTGTTAGCAAAAATAACACGCCTATAGACGTGTAATCGTTGTCCCATAGCGGACGCGTCAAGACGTGTTCGTTTTACACGCACCCATGTGTGTTATTTGTCTACTCATGAGGTGCCGTGTATACTTAACACGATACACCGTGTCTGCCTTCTGCGAAACACGGCTGAGCGTGTTTACTATAAAACATGGCGGCCCGTAGCCGAGAACAGGCGAGAGACGAGCTCAGCGAGTCGAGTAGACAGTAACCCTACATACATCGCAGACAACACGAGCATTACATATTACACACACACACACACACACACACACACACACACACACACACACACACACACACACACACACACACACACACACACACACACACACACACACACACACACACACACACACACACACACACACACACACACACACACACACACACACACACATACACAACACACACCGCTACAGATTTATAGAAGACACAAAACACGGTGCAATGGACAGCTGTGTGTTAGAACTGTTTGCATTTAAAAAGTATGGAGCCAAAATCTATAATGTTAGTGCGTTGCGACAAATAACGATATTATAACAATAAATTTAAACCGGTTGTGAAAAGGTTCAAATTTTTGTTATTTTCTTGCTTGACCAGTGTTATGAGCAGTCTGACTAGCTTGAATCAAATCGAAAAACAAATTATTGGGATTTTGTCATTATGTATTAAATAATAAATGGAAATGATCCTTGCGCAAAGTATTTTTTATATATCCTTGTGAATATCATCCGCCCAACCCTTGACTTCCCCTAGTTGCAGTACGCGTACGGGAGCAGACACCTTCACTTTTGGGGCGTTTTGATGCAGTTTGCTGTCGTATGTCGTGTCTGTGTCTAGTGGAGTGGTATAGGGCTTGGGAGTTTGTGACCGGTGTTATTCGTGATCACTGGTGTGGCGCTAATGCGTTTTTCTTATACCGCCACCACCTCGAACTTTGAAGCTTCACGGGCGCGTGGCACTGCATTAAGACCGGTTCACACATTCAGCGGAGCGCTAAGTTAACGCTATAGATACGCGAGCGTTCGATGGAGCGCTCATCTGGCGCTTCCTAGTGCGTGACTTCGTTCTAATATAGCGCGTGATTAGCGCTTTAGTAGCGCCGTGTTAGCGCTCTAGTAGCGCCTTTTTTGCGCTTCAGTAGCGTTTCTTGTACCGCGGTGCTGCAGATTAGCGCGTGCACTGCGGTTCCGTTTCCTGTGGCTGGGTCTACATCAGCAGCACCATGGCGGCATGTGGGATGCTGAAATAGAAAAGCGACAAATGCTCTTACATACGCGATTAGTGCATATGTGTGTGGACGGCTTAACGCCCAGAAGAGCCTTCTGGGTGCGCGAAATCTTTCGCCACCGAGATACCGACGGAAACCTGGCGAACCTTGTTCCTAGGCTGAGGGTCCGAGGCACAGAGCTCTTTCCAAGGCGATTATTCATAACTGCGTGTCTTTGAAACCAGGGTCATGCATATTGAATAGAAAGCGATGAGGTCGTACCCAATCAATTAGTCACTCGGAATCCATGACTCTGGATCGCATGCCCGACCCTTTGCTTGAAGAGCGGCGCTTTTACTTCCTCTTTTTTCGATGCCAAAGGAAAAACAACAAGGAAGGAATCGCCGTGCACGCGCAATTCCGCAGCAGCAAGCACGTGAGAGCGCTAACAAAGCGCTTCTGAAGCGCTAACAAAGCGCTTCTGAAGCGCTAACAGAGCGTATAGTGAAGCGCTAACCGAGCGCTACATTAAGCGCCACATGAGCGCTCCTTCAAGCGCTCACGTAGCGCTAACTTAGCGCTCCGCTGTATGTGTGAACCGGCCTTTAGTGCTTCAGAAGTGCTTTTTTAGCGCTCTCACGCTCCGTGTTGCGTGCTTGCTGCTGCTGAACAGTGCGTGCACGGCGATTCCCTCGTCGTTTTTCCTCTCGCTCGCAGTTCTCGCCGCCCTCAGTACACCATGGACACCCTCCACACTTTGACACCGGATAAATAGATGAACGAGTATTTACAGAAATAAATGAACTGCGCAAAGGACGAGGACAGAGGTAGAAACGAGTACGACACACGGAGTTTGCCTGAAATTCTGTATGGCCGGTCGTTTTTAAGACCGAATTATCTACTTGAGCGCTCTGCGACGCTGTGCAAACGCAGTCCAACAACACGAAGCATAAAAACGGCAGATTTAGGACAACAATCCGGAGTCCATTGCTCAATCAAAACAACATAATTTTGTTGAAAACGCTCGCAGCTTTTTACTCACGGTATGCGTGGAGAATGTTCCACATTTTGAAACAGAACGAAGGAAGATTTACTTTTAAAAACGCTCGTTGCGTCCTCCCGAACCAGCTGGTCCGGATCAGCTGACGACGACGGGACTGAACCCGTTGAACTTCAACCCGACAACAACTAATTTGCGCTCCGTGTTAGTGTGGCTTTCTACCTCCAAGCACCGCACCACACACTACGAACGTTTCAGCTCTTTGTCGCATCGCCGTGTTGCACCAAACAGAACGAGATCGCCGAAGTCAAAGCAGCGCTATCGTGAGCCTTAGCTTGTGGATTTGTGGTAAAACTAAATAGATTTAGTTTTAGTAAAAGATGGTAAAGCTTCGGTTGTTGATATTCAAGTGGTAGGGGAATATAAATCATTAAACTCGTTAAATGAGGATAAGATTCGTAAATATTCTGGTGAAGCCTTTATTAGGGCTATTAAATTGTCTTTCTCGGTGTCCTCGGTGACGGTCCATGCCGTAACAGCAACTGAAAGAGGACTAGTTTGTCCCAGGTCTGCTGATTTTCTGTTATCCCTTGGATTTTCAAAGCGGAATGTTTCATCCCTGACACTGAAGGTCCTACGGGGAACGCTCAGTTGTTTTTATCATTTTATGCGTGGGACTAATCGCAGTGTTTGATGTATTTGTGACGGATTTGAAGATTGCAAGAAATATGGACTTCAGATTTTATATAAAGATGTATGTATTTGTTAATTATTGTATAATGATGAATTGAAGTGTGTTTTATGGTTTTTATGTTGTGGGGAAATACACAGTGAGGGCATGATGCAGAGCCGTGCATACTTAAGGTTAACCTTCCTCAAAAAGCGAATGTATTGAACTTGTTCAATAAACAGAATTGCGCACTCGTGGACCCTGTGACTCCCTTCGCGTTAAAAGCAGAGACGACGATTACGAATGATATGCTTGGGAGAAGAGCGTGTTGGTTCAAGTCATGGATGAAGAAAGAATAAAACAATTGAAACTGGGACAACACAACAACATCTTTCAACTAGCAACAGACGAGTAAACTTTCCAAAAAATTTCCAATTTCCAACGAATGATACTTCCCGTCTTCCCGCAACATCACAGAGGCACTTCTCCGGTCCCGCCATCGCTACATGTGATCGCAAACCGCGGAGCTTCTCGTGTCCCCTCAACGAAAGCAATACCGGCGCCATGTTAGACGTGCGTTGTTTGACAGATTTTCTCCGACCAAACAAACACAATAAAAGCAAAACCGGCTCAAGTTTCCAGCGTACATCGGCGTTGCGCCGTGGCCAGGTTTTTTCTGTCAGCTCTAACTTAAAGATGACCTACAGATCCAGCAACACTGGTATGAAGTTTTAATATGGCGGCCACCACGGAGCGCCGTAAATTTTGAGGAGGGTGCATGAAAAGCGGCCGCACATCCCCCCCCCCCCCCCCCCCCCCCTTGCCTCCCCTTGGTGTTACACGGCCGTTTCGCTTGCAGTTAAAGGGTTGAAGCCAAAACGATACCAACTGCAATGTCACGTGTTCAAATCTAGGACACTCTTTATTTTATTTTTAACTGTTTAGAACGAGTAATTAGACCAATAATTTTATTTGTGGTGAGTAAGAAACTATTACCAAGACCCTTAAAATGAATACAAACATGGGCGACATGAGGGAAGCCGCATCGCCATCGACCAGAATTAATGGCAGCGCGCAGCAAGCGCGGGATTCACCCCGTCTTGCGACATGGCGTAATTGCTTTTGGTGCATATCTGTCTCCGAGACATGTTTCTTTCCGCGACATTTGTCTCCACGGTTCTTTCCAGGTGTGTCCCCAAGCATTCCGGTGCTTCGATAGCCGGCAATGCTGCGGTCGTCGCCGGGGGTGATGCGTGTTTTAGAGGTCGGCTACACGGTTATACGTGTATGACCGAACCAAAACACTTTTTGTACAACCTCGGATGATTTTCGAACGAATTATTCATTACTCAACGTGTAAATTTACGCTAATTTGTGTAAATAGCGTGGTTTTTACCCCAAATATTAACCAAATACACGGGACTTGCTAACAGTGTAGTTGAGGAAAGCCCGTTCTTACCTATGCTCTAACGTAGTTTTACTTTGCAGTTTTGGCCAAAGAAACAACAACATGGAGGCAGTTGAAGCCAAGTCCGAAATGCCGATGTTCCAGTACTGGGCAGACCGCTGGAATACAAGCAACACAGGGTGGCAGATCAAAGGCGTGTTTTCGTAAGTACGAAATAAGAAGACGATGGCTTGTTCTCGACAGTGTAGTGCTAAAATGTGTGTTAAAGAGAGCGTTCGCTAATTAATGCCGAATTCCACTAAATTGATTTCTTGCTCTATCCCAAGTCGCCGATGTGTAGTGCGCCATACCCAGAGGTAGATAAACGCTGCCATCTGGTGCCAATCTTGCGCACAACTGGGCAGTCATGACAGACTAATCTAATACCCTTGTGCACAAAGTCGTTCTACGCAGTGTTTTTAGTTTTTTTTTTATATTTGGAGTCTGTACAAGTGTTTCGGCTTTTCTCAACTCTACCAAAGCAAACGGCACTTGGCGGGAAAACATTAAACTGGCCGAAACAGGACCTTTCACCAATATCTGCTACCTTATATACCATAAGTTGTGCGAATTGTCATCGCAAGCACGTGCGCGCGAGAGTATTACCAAAGCCACAAGTTTGCGTGCGAGCACTCGCGCATGGGAAACGCATGCCATTTGTATTTTCCTACTTATAGTGTGTATTCACTGCACGCCATATTTCTGGGTGCTGTCTAGAGCGCATGAGTGAGTGAGAAAACGTATTTATTAAAGGAATAGGATACATCAAGATCTCTCGATAAAGTCATCCAATTGGGACGGGGGAAGGCTCAGTAATGGCCCACTTTAATAGGTTGCTAAGACCGGCAATTTTGATGGTATGGAATGCACGTTGCAAAAGAACCGGGGAAGCTCGCCATCAGCACGCGCTCAGCAGTCGCGCACACAGGTGTGGCCGCCAATGAATACTCCCTATAGGAGGTATTCACTGGACGCCATATTTGCTGGTGCTGTTTAGAGCGCACGCTCAGAACGATCTCGCATTAATAGCCTGCTAAGACCGGCAACCTTGATGGTGCTAAATGCACTCTCCAAAAGGACTGCGGAAGCTCGACGCGTCAGCACGCGCTCAGCAGCATCGCACACGGATATGGCCGCCAGTGAATACTCCCTATACTTGATAGACGCGGTGCGACATGCTTCTTTTCCTACTTTTACTTAATCGACGTGGTGCGATTTTATTTTCGATTCCGCGGCTGTAACGTCGCTTGTGCGGCAAAAAAAAAAAAGAAAAAAAGAGAGAGAAAAAAAAAACTGTGGTGGAAATTGCGATGCTAAACGTCGGAGCTGCGAAATCGCGAAAAATAAAAAAACAAAAAACAAAATAGCACCGTGTGAATAAAGTTTTCGTGTGGAACAATGCTGTAAAAGGTAACGTCGCGAGCCTAGCTGTGTATTAATTCGGCATTCCATTTTCCCGTACCCTCGCGCTAGTTATACCCCCGTACAAGTTCGACTGATCCTTGAACACCTCGCGTGTTTGTTTACCCCCCCCCCCCCCCCCCCCCCCCCCACTAAATGAGCTCACGTGCTGTTGTTTCCTTGCGACCTCGACCAATGACGGGACGCGCACGGCTGCCTCGTCATTTCTCGTTCCATGACCGATCTCCATGATGTCCTTTGATTGGCGTGCATCTGCTTGCGTTCCGTAGTGAAACAGACGCACGTTGCAACACCTGCTGGGCCTACACGGATAGAAACTGAGGAAGGGGAGGGGACGAGAGCGCGCGGGGATGTCGGGGCGCCCAACTATGATTGGAAGGATTAGAGGGTAGACGTAAAGGCTATAGCTGCTCTTGTCTCCGCCTTCTGTCTTCGTTCCATCCGAGCGAACAAAAGCGTCGTCTGTTCCTCGTGGCGGTTCTGGCGTTGGAATTCCGAACGCCAGCGTCCGGTGTCCGGCGCTTGCTGATGTGTACCCTTGCTGTGGCCTTCTGTATAATGGCGCAGAAAAATTCAGCACTGGGGCTTTCTTATTTTTAGGGGGTGGTGCATCTTCACTATCTATGGTCACTGGCTGCCTAAGAAACGCAGAGATTACACTGTTATGCATAAGCATAGCCTCCTCCATACTCACAAAGCCTGGCAGTTCGACGATAGAGCCATTGAGTGCCCGGTCGCAGACTTAAGAGCACGAGGTTCTGGTAGCGCAGAGCATCCAAGAGCCATTTTTCGGGGAACCTGGACGTCTTTGCAGCGGCAAGGACCCGAAACAAACTTGTTCGCTCAGGAGGAGTGGGTTTCGGCGTCTCGCCGCAGCGGGGCGCCAGTCACGCGGCTCTCCTCTCATCTGATGCCTGCCGCTCCACCTTTTTTCATTTCGGCGGCCGCTTAATTCTCGTGCGATCTCCCAGGCTTTTTTTTTTTTTTTAATATATAGGAAGCTATTGTACAAATAAACCGCCCCCTCCCCCCCCCCCCCCCCAAAAAAAAAAAAAAAAAAAAAAATAAGAAAAAAAAATATTGTTTTTCTTAGCAGCAAAAAAGTAAGCTACGCATTTCCAAATGCTCATCGTCCGCCCAAATGTAGCGCTAGCGGTCCGAACCAGCTGCCAAATTTTAAAAACTAAACGTTATCTCATTCAAAAGTTATAAATGATTTTCTGAAAATTTCAAAGGGAAAATGGTGCCCATTTACCCGTTTTTGTTAAATATACGTCATGTATTGCAGAGCTCCATGAGCCGGAGAGGAAGAAGAAGTGCCTGAGATTGAGGACGTAAAATTTCCGTTCCGTCAATTCGACAGCCTTTTCGGTAGCCTATAGCCAGCTGTGACCTTCAAAGACCGACCATAAGAAGCTTCAGAACTACCGGCGACGTCCGAGCAGTCGCCAGTGAAAAGCCACTCGTAAGGGTGGTCTTTTCTAGACCCCAATCATCATGCCCGGCTCCACGATCGAACTTCCACAGCAGAGCATTGAAAGCGCCGCCACCAACGTCACAAACCCAGTATCGACGGACCACATCACCCCTGGACAACACTGCATGCCGAACGACTCAACTCACGATGCTCATGACACCGCGTCCAAGTTCTGGACGTCCGAGTCGGTAGCGAACTCGTCTGAGACCGGGGTCGAAATTATGGATGAAAGCAACACCAACAACGAAGAGTGGAACAAGGCACGATCACGTAAGCGCTCACACAATACACTGTCCGACTCTGCTTCGAGTTCGGGAACAGTTCGCAAACAGCCGAACGTCAGTGAAGGACTCACAGTAATCTTTGCCGCTACGAAGCCTGACCAAAAGCTAGCAACTTTAAGCAGCTTGAGGCTTTCCAACGCCCTAGAGAAGCTCTGTCCAGAGTGCATCCTTCAGATCCGCCCCAACGAGCGCCTCAACGTCGTCGCCGTTGATGTGCGCAACGGACAAACAACAAGGACGCTGCTGAAATGTCCTGAACTTTGTGGTGTCTCTGTCAGGGCCTACCAATCTTTCGAGGGCCCCACATCGATTGGTGTCATAAAAAATGTCGATGCTGAACTGTCAGATCCTGAAATTCTAGAAAACCTGCGATCGGATGGCCGCATAGCCAGAGTACGTCGTCTTGGGGTGACAGGTGTCGTAAAGCTGACATTCAACAGTTCACCATTGCCAAGCTTCGTGCTGCTAGGACGAGTACGACACCAAGTGACGGAGTTCAAACCCCGTCCAATCCAGTGTCGCAACTGTGGTGGTTTTGGGCACTTTGCAGTCTCATGCACACGTTCTTCCGCATGCTCTCGTTGTGCAGAGCCGCATCCTATAACTAACACCACGAGCAACACCAAATGTAAATCCACAGTGATCAAGTGCGTCAACTGTGGAGAAGCACATGAAGCTACATCTCCAGCGTGTTCAAAATGGAGAGAAGAGCAAAATGTCGTCACGTGCGCCAAGAGAAATGCCGTTGACTACCGCTCTGCCAGAATTATTGTAAAGCAGGCGTCGGGAGTCATACCAGAACCCATTCTCAATGTGGTGGCCAACAGCACCTCCAAGAAAAGTGGAGAAGCCCCAGTGCAGGACAGGCAACCCCCAGCCCTTGACAATAAGGGTTTAAGCTATGCCGCAGCACTCAAGACCGATCCTCAACCTAACAACAACTCTGCAACAACGTCTAATAAGCCAAAACCCGGTGTCACCATTCCGACGGGCACTGAAAAGTCGACATGCAACGGAGCATCTATCAAAAAATCTGAACACTCAACGGGAGTCACCAATATTGAACCAACATCAACGGCTGACTCTTCAAAAAGATTACCCCGAGATGCTCCGGAAAAACCTACGGCGAATTGGATAAAATTATTCAGAATAGCAGCAGAAATGGCGTGCGCTTATCTTGATGGCATTGATGCCTCGTGGGCACACATTCTATGCGGTTTCATTCAGGCAGCGTTCCCACTGCTGAATATAGCATAATGCTACATCCCAACATCCACCCAAAGAGACGCACCCGAAATATTGCATGTCCAACAGTGCTTCAATGGAATACTAACGGCATACAACAACGCCTCTCAGATCTACGCCTACATTTAAAGACCAACCGATACGACGTCCTAGCCCTTCAAGAAACTCGTATAAAATACGGCAAATTCAGACTTTCTCCATACGTCGTTTATCAGGGCCTACTGCCAGTTACTGAAAACACGAAGAACGAAGTGCCGAAAGCCACAATACTTGTCCGAAGAGAACTGGATCAGCATCAAATAGATTTGACAGACTTATGTGACGATGCTGCTGAGTTCACCGGTGTAACGATACGTAAAGGGGACTGCGACACCACCATAGTTTCTGCGTACGTCCGTCCGGGAACCAAATGGGACCCTACGATTATGATGAAGATTATGCCGCGCTGCTCAGAAAACGTACTATTTTTGGGAGACTTTAACGCCCATAATCACACCTGGGGAGATAAGCACACAACGACGCGCGGATCTGCTCTTGAGGCCACAGCGGACACGCTAGGGCTTGTTCCACTGAATGATGGAACCGCAACATTTGTCAGACCGGGGGTCTCCAACAGTGTCCTTGACCTCAGCTTCGCTACACCACAACTCAGCGCACGATGGCAACCTCAACATGACAGCTGGGGTAGTGATCATATCCCGATCATTATCTCCTCCCCAAGCTCTACAAGCGCTACACATAGGACCTGCAGAGTCGTCAATTGGGACCAATATCGCTCGCACCTCCAAGACCTTCTCTCTGAAGGAAACGTCGATCTTACAACGGCTATTTCACAAGCCCTATATGACGCCACGAGGCTGGTCCAGGTCCCGGTCTCCCGCCCGAATCCTGACCTCCTCTACCTCAAGCTGAGGGCCCGCCGACGGCAAGCCCAAAATCGTTCGCTACGTACAAGAAGAATGGAGGACATTCAGCGCTATAGAAGAATCGACGCTGCGTTCCGCCGCCATACTAACCGACTTCAGCGAAAACAGTGGCGACAAAAATGTTAATCTCTTGGTGCTCCCGGTGGCGCAAGACAGGCTTGGAGGATGGCACGTGCTCTCGCATCGGAGGTAGTTCCTCGGCTTCAGATCTCAGCGTTTGCTATATCGCAAAATATTACATTAGCACGAACTGCCGAGCTTTTGGCCGATCAATTCTCCCGTCCAATCTCTCCCCCTTCAGGCTTTCAAATTAGCTCATCAGTGACCCCCCTTTATCAACTGCCCAACATAGACTCCGACTTCACGCTTAAAGAACTGCAGCACGCACTTAGAAGATCCACCCGTCGTAGAAGCACTCCAGGGCCGGACGGGATAACGTACCAGGCTTTAAACAACATAGACCCCGTCATGCTGCCTAAACTACTGGAGGAGCTAAACTCAGTCTGGAACACGGCGGCACTGCCGGATGCTTGGCTCAACTCCGAAGTCATACCAATCCACAAACCAGGCAAACATGTAGAAGATTTGTCATCATACCGACCAATTTCACTCACCTCCTGCCTTGGAAAAGTTCTCGAACGCATGATACTTAGAAGACTAGACTGGGCACTAGAAACAGTTGGCGCGATCCCTGAACAACTCTCTGGTTTCCGCCGTCGACGTTGCACGGCAGATGCTATTGGGGATCTCGTCTCAGCGTTGGAGGAAGCCAAACAAGCTAATCACGGTTACGCCGTCATTTTCCTTGATATTACCAAAGCATTTGATGCGATTCCTCACGCTACTGTCATTAACCAGCTTCAAGTCCTTGGCGTCACGGGACGTACTTTGGCATTTATCAAGGCCTTCCTCACTGGCCGGACTATGAAAGTTCGCATCGGAAACGATCGCAGCACAATCAGACACATAACTGAAAGGAGTTCCTCAAGGAAGCGTACTAAGCCCGCTTCTCTTTAACGTTGCAATGGCCGCTCTTCCCCGAACTCTCGCCCGTGATGACCGATCTCCAAGAATTCAAATATACGCGGACGATGTGGCCCTTTGGGCCACGTCACCAACAGCCATGCATGCTAAAATGCAACGTCGTTTACAGCTGACTCTTGACGGTATTTCAAAGGAAATTACTCGACTGGGTTTAACTATCTCGCCATCTAAAACCGCGGTAATTGCTCACCATCCACGTGGCTTTAAGGCCAGCTCTTTCACGTACTCTGTAAACGGTACTCCCATAACACGGATGCGCAACCACATGTACCTAGGACTGGTTATTGATGACTGCCTTTCCTGGCGTCCAGCCGTGAAACAAACAATATCTCGGTGCGATCTGCACCTCAACGTACTTCGCAGGATCCGAGGACAAACCTGGGGAACCTCACAATCTATGACTCTGCAAATGTATAGGGGACTGATACAATCCAGGTTGCTCTATGCGCTCCCACTTGTACTCGTACGGGACGCTCAGCTCACGAAGATGGAGATCATTCAAAGGAAAGCCCTCAGAATCTGCCTCGGTCTTCCCCCGTCTGCGCCGAACGTCCCTACTTTGGTCGAAGCTATAGACAAAACACAATAGTCAATCTAGCGTTCCGTCAGGCACAACGACATCTCGCCCGGCAGACCCTCACAAGGTCTACTTCTAACCTCTTACAACGCTTCGATAGACGTCCCAATTCCCGCCTAGGAAAAGTCTACGCAGAGTTTAAGGAGTCGGTCGGTACATTGGATGAAGACCCTCCTCCACCACCCCCTCATACAACTGTGTTTCTGAATATATCGGAAGAAATTCCCCAACTACGCAGCAAAAAGTCGGTCTCGGATGTGGTTTCCCGTAATCTTGCGGAAGAACACGTCGACAGCTCTTTCGACGGTTGGATAAAAGTTTTCACCGATGGCTCAGTCTGTCATCAAAAGAAATCCTCAACTGCTGCTGTAGTTATCCCTGAACTCGCCATTATCAAGTCCGGTCGCCTCGACTTCCACACATCATCCACCATCGCAGAATTAAAAGCACTAGAACTTGCTCTCGATACCCTCCACGACTTTCAGAGCCCAGAAAAGGCGGCTTTGCTCACAGATTCCAGAGCGGCACTTCAAATCCTCTCCAATCTGGAAGAGGCACCTCCGATTGCCCGCATCATCGCTTTCAAAGTCGAATCCTTAGAAAAGAAAGGCTGGACTGTAGCATTCCAGTGGTTGCCATCTCACTGTGGGATCGACGGCAACGAAAGGGCCGACCGAATCGCAGCTGAGGCACATGAACTCACCAACAGCACTCTCCACGTGCCGAAGATCAACGAGGCCAGGCTTCTCATCGCACGTGAGACGCAAAAAAGACACCCGGATGTGGGCGTAGCCGGAGGAACCCCACCATCACCGGTCCCCACCAAACTCGGCCGCCCAGAAGCAGCCCTTCTTCACCGACTCAGAACACGTTCAGCTTTTACGGCTTCTTGGCTTTACCGCATCAAACGCGTGGACAGCCCACACTGTCACACATGCCAAGTTCCCGAGGATATAGAACATCTCCTTTGCGACTGCCCAATCTTAGACGCTCAGCGTTCTAGACTCCACCTTGAACTTCGTCAAATAGGCGCAGCAAGGCAGAGCTTTTCGCACCTGCTTTTCCCGCCAGGTCCCAGGCGCATCGCTACGAAAACATTCGCGCTGCTCCTGACATTCCTGGAAGACACCGGCTTGGCTGACCATCTTTAATGCTTGGTGTTCCTTCCAGTTTCCAGTACGGCGGGCCCGGCTTGGCGCAAGGTCTGTGACTGTGACGGGTAACATGACCTTCTGCCATTGAGGTGGCAGACCTGACAGTGCTGGACTAGACACCACTTAATATCTTTTGATCAGTGTGTGTCTTGTTTGAACCTTCCTTCCCTTTCTTCCTTCTCTCTCTCTCTCTTTCCCTTTTCTTTTGTTGCTCAGACCGGGACTGGCAGGCCCCCATTAGAAGGAGTGGCCACACTGTTCCGGTCTTCCTTCCCCCTCCCCTTTCTTGGTTTTAAAATAAATTTCAACGCTTACACACACGCTCCATGAGCCGCCATTTTTTCCATTTAAAGGTTTTAGAAAATCGCATAACTTTTTCGTAAGACAACGGTCCGTTCTGAAAATTTAGCATCTGGTTCGAATCATTAGCACTTCATTTGGGCCAAGAATGAGCGTTCGGGGATGCATAGTACATTTTAGCGCCTAAAAAGAAAACATGTTTTGTTTGTCCTCTTTCGTTTTTTTTTTTTTTTTTGTGCGTGTGAGTGCGTGTGTGTGTGTGGGGGGGGGGAGAGGGGGAAGTCACCCTGTAGGAGGCAAACATGCTTCGAATATTTTTCAGACTTGTCGCAGATAAGTCTTTTATTGTGTATGCCGCAAACGCCATATCTTTTGTATAACGTATGAGGGTTGTGACTGTGGCTTAAAGGTGTGGGAACTATTGTACACATAAGGGGGGATGTCTGAGTGACCGCTTTGTGAAGCAAGTCCTATTTTTGTTCCTTGCAGTGGAGCACGTAAAATAGCGTCTGCCTGCTCGTACGGCTTAGCCGCGAATGGTGCTTGGTATCCATTTTTGTTCCAAGCTATTTTTGCGTGTTTGACTCCTGAAATCGTCTGCCGTCGGAAACGGGTGCTCTAAAAAGCGAGGCATCGAGAAAAATAATTGTAATTATTTTAGTACGGATTTGTGCTTACATGTTCGAGTGGCGGCACTCAATGGAACAGAAAAGCCTCTCAGTTTCAGCTACAGTCATTGGTATACCCGCGTTCGAATGTGCCGTAAAACCAACGGGCTTAGGTCAGTTGGTCTACATCCACATTTACAACTGGACCTTAAAATTTGGTCCCATAAGTCCAACCCCTTAAAAGAAGCGAGCTAATCAAATTTCGGGTTTTTATGTGGTGTACCGAAGGAGTCGCTTTGGCACGCCCCAGCAAAGAACTCGGTTTTATTCTCTACCAGGTGGGGATCTTTTGACGTGTTACCGAAACGTCGGTTACAAGGCACTTTCTCCGTTTTTGCCCTTAGGCCGACTTCCTCGAGCGTTATTCAGGTATAAAACAAAGTTGTATAAATGAGCCAGTGAAAAGAGTGTCATTAAAATTTTTATAAAGGTGTTTTGGATGGTGCAGTGATGATACTCAAAATTTGCAACTGTGGGTTTGTAGGGGAACAATTCATAAAAATGTATATTATGCGTTGGATAAAACAAGCAAACCGCCTCGACGTTAACCATAGGTATCGCAATATGCGTGTATTAGCGTCAACCCGACGGTTTGCTACTGTTTTTCCCTGGCGTTTAAAAAATAAAGTTTTCATTCACGCGCACTTTTTTTCCAGGAATCTAGATTCTAGAAATGCGAGTGAAATCAGTGCACCACCTAAAAACACCTTCGTGCAAAGTTCGACGGCGTGCTGTTCACTGGCTACAATTCGTGCGATTCATTTTACGCCCAAATAAAGCACTCGAGGACAACCCGTAGGTTCTACTACCATGCTTGCCATGCAAGCAGTCGAACACGTTCGCCCGTTCGCGTGCCATCCGGCGCAATAAAAAACGATATGGTGTGGGATGCGCAGTGTTCCCTTTCATGAACGCAGGCTCCTGGAGAAACATCAGGACGTCATTCTAGCGGGAAAAGAAGACGCCCAGGTCTACATTCCAATGTGTGGAACGGCACACGAGTTGAAATGGTGAGGGCGGTTATCATCCGCTTCCGACCACCCGACGGAGCCAATCGCTCGGCGCCCGAAAGTGCATCGTCACGGCTTTCCTTCTCTTTTCTGGGTTTGACCGGCTAAACAAAAAAAAAAAGAAAGAAAAGCGCTGGATCGCCGTGCACTCACGGTGTGTGATCGGATTAATGTTTAATCAATGATAACAAACGCACGAAGACGACGAGCGTCGTGACAATGCACTTTTGGCTCTGTATGATTGGCTCCATCGGATGCTATACACTCCGTGCGACGCGACCGGCGCGCCGCCGCGCGGCCGTTACCGAAGGTAGGCAGTGAGAGTCCCAGCGAAACGAAACCACGCCGCGTACACTGGTACGCATTGAAGTCGGAGCGGTGCGGTTGCGTTGGGTTGACAGCATGAACTGCTGCGTCGTTAAGTGCTCCAATATTTATGCGTCGTATCTTGTGGGGACGAAGTTTCACAGTTTTTCACCTCGTCGATGTTTTGTGGGACAGCGACAACGATGGACCGGTCGCGTAAGACGCGAGAAATTTGGTCTCCGGATCATGGCTGCCACTGTGTCGGCACGGCTGACATATTCTACACTGCCGCTTTGCGCTCTGCGTTTGTTTTCGTACCAGTAATGCCATCCCACATTCACGGGTATGCAGTGCGAATTTCGTTGAAGGAATGCCCTCCAAGGAAGTTTTGTCCTCCTCGTACGTGTCGATGATATTTCCGGACCAGTATGGCACGCAGTCTGTACTTCATGAAGAAAGATTCGGACGGTACAAAAAGCGACCAATATGAATCTAAGGAAAACTACAATGAAACTTGGAATGAATGGACAATCGATGTTTGAGTATGGAAGTTTATGTGGTGTGCTTTCTTTTTTGATCGGCCTCCTTTTGGATGTGGAAACACTGACACCCCGTGTCTTCTTTACAAATTTTTTTTTCTCGTCTTTAGAGCTAATTATCGCAAAATTGTTCGAACTGGAAGTATCGTCCACTGGTACCTTCCTATCTGTAAAGTGTGCACCTCCCGGCCATGATGAGTGGTATTCTCTTGACAGCCTTTGACGGTCAAAACCGGTTCCCATTTAGTTACGCCGCTCAAAAATATTTCCACCTGGTTAAACTATGCCATCTTTTTTAGGTATAATAAGTGTTTTGTCAAGTTACGGTTGTCCAAGATCTGTGTGCCGAAAATCAGCCCCTCGCACAACCAGATTGCTACACAACAGCTGACCGCAAAAGCCTTTGACGGCCAAACCGTGTGTTAATTGGCCGGCAAACTTGGTTTTCTCAGCTTTGAAGCCACCTTTCGTAAAGTTGCTTCAATTGGAAGTACCGTGCAGTAGTCTCTTCCTACCTGTAAAGTCTCCATCTCCAACGACCAGTGGTATTCTCTTCACAGCCCTTTCACGGTCAAAACCGTTTCCCATTCAGTTACGCCGCCCAAACCTAATTTCCACCTGGTTTCCCTATGCCACCTATTTTTGGTATTATAACTGTTGTGTCAAGTTACGGTCATGTCCAAGAAACTGTGTGTCCAAATCTGCACTTCGCACAGCCCGGTTATAACACAAGATTTTGGATCCAATATTGGATATTCCTGACAGCTTTATTCCTTTATTCGTTAGAACGATAACTTTCACACCTGCTGTCTTAATAAAACTTGGCCCACTTAGTGAACATCTCACTCACCTCCAAATATCATCGTCCCAGCAGTCCTACGTTTACAGCGACGAGCGAAACTAATTTCCCACTGAGAGCAAATATGGTGGCGGCCGTCTTGCTCTTCGGAAAATTTCTCAAACCTCTTTTTCGACCACAACTAAAGAAATTACCCCTAATAACAACTCAAACTCAATATATAAGGAGGGGAGAACAGCCTAAATGCCTTTCTCAAATCTCTCGCAGCACTCATGCAACGTCACCCTCAACTTATCAGCTCAAAAAGCAAAAGTTCCGTCCGTGCGCGCTTCCGCCGCCACAGCTTCGCACGCGAAAAGGCGCCGCAGGCATGCTGAGCGCGCCTCACTGTCGAACGCCAGCTCCTCCGCCAGCGGCGCTACGCGCGTTTTTGAAAGCGCCCCCTATAGTTCCCGCACGGAGCGTATAGCGTCGTCTGCGTTCAGACTTATCGTGAAGCGATGTGTAACCCCGATGCCGATGCTTTGACAGCGGGAAAGAACGTACGGCTCGAACATCCGCTCGCCCAAACGGCAACGAGATGACTAGGCGATTCCATGGCGTCCTTTCGAAGACTTTAAAGCCGCGGTCCCACCGCTGACATATCACACAAAAGACAGTCCGCGCACACTGCGTTTCTTCCTCGTACGACCGGCCTGTCATGTCGGTCACACAGAAACTCTCTGTAAACATGTTGGAGGCATACTTATGCGCGAAGGGAACATGCTTGGAACATCCCTGAGGCGTGTCTGGAGACAACGACACCGCGTCTTTTGTGTGATATACGAGAAGTGCGCCTGCGCCTCTGCGGCCCCTTCCCTCGTCGTCGCGGTCGATCCGTTTGGCGAGCGACGAGTCCGATGCCGTCTGCAAACAACACTAGTGGAAGCTTTGAATCATCGGGTTAGCTTGAACCGACACCGATAAAAAAGATGACGGTTTTGCCGCGCGTCCCACTGCCTGCGATGAAAGCGGCGTTCATCCTTAAATTCATTCAGGTGGGTGTTCGACAAACAATGAAATACCGATCACGTATACTTTGATCAGCTCTGGAGGCAGGGGGCGCGAGCGCGTTCGCAAGACGCCATTATGTCATGATGGCTTCACACCGGGTGGCTCTGTAGCGCGATGTTTCACGTGCCACGGTCGAATACAAGCATCTGTCAGCATCCGTAGATGCGCGATAACAAAACTTCTGGGCAGAAAGATAAAGAATTATGCAGCTCGCAGCCGCGGCGTCCCATTAAACATTCCGTTCAGCTTTAATATTTGCATTGCTTTCTTTCATGCTTCCGGGAGCACGTACGATTGACTTTACATGATAGCGAAGCCAAAGCTACTTGCCAAAGCACGTTCCCCCGAACGATGCTTGCACTGTACGAGCACACGTGCTTGGCAGCGACACTGAAAGCTCAGAACTCGCTCTTGTAGCCTCTGCTACGCTGGCACTTATAACGAAACGGAGTATAAAAAACTGTAGTGGGGAAGCGTAATGAAGCAAACGCGAGCCAAATATTCTAATTCGCTCACCTGGAGCGCTGCTCAAAATTTGAGAACTACGGGCCTACGTGTGCGAACTGTCTAGGGTCAACACCAACCAGAATAGACCGTTATAAAAATTCCGCGTCAGCGCATGTCCGCCATAGCTTGCTCACATATTCTGAGCACGTATTGGAGACGAGGCAGCTGCGTCACGCGCTTCATGTCAACAGACGAATGGATTGACGCTAACGGCTGTACCCTCTATATTGGGCGGCAGCTAGCGCCACTTATAGCCTAGTTGTACGCCATTCAAGTTTCTTTAGATAATTTTAACCAACCAATGGCGACCGCCAATGTTGCTCGATGAACTCATGAAAAGGGTTTATCGTCGAAGCCTCTGTGCTAGAGGTTTGACGTCCTCACGGTGATATTGAGCAAATACGCACGTTGGACACGAGCGCTGCGTCAAGGTTCGACTGAACCCCGGGTCTAATCATCGTGTCAAACCGTGTCATGGTCTTTTTTTTTTTTTAATGCCGACATAAATAAAAAAGAATTTCGTCGCAGCAGTAAAATAAAACAAGGCGAATTAGACCTTTTCGGAAAATCTGGGGAGACCTCGCTACTATCCCACATTCTACCAACCAGCGAGGGGAATTGCGGGGTTTTCCGGTGTACGGTCGAGCTGACTCGCGGACGCTTCGTGTACCCTGGGACCGGCACGATCCTTTTCTGTGTTGTCGTTGTGAGTTAAGAACACGCAAAAATAAAAATGAAAAACATAAAACATAGTGATTGCACACCCCGTTTCGCTTTCCTTACGTCTACTTTGCTCTCTGGTTCTGGTTCTGCTTCACAAACTATTAGACTTCGTCTTCTACTCCTGGGTGATCTTTCACGTGCCGTACTGGGGCGAACATTGGTCTATGGCACTCCCTCTGCCTCTGATAGTAAGACAGCTGTTTGTAAACACTTAAAACTAAAAAGTGGTACTTCAATGTGACTTCTTGACCCTCGTGAACAGGTTTTACGCCAAGGGTCATCGCGTCGTCGGCGTGGAATTTGTGGAATCGGTTGCTCTGAAGTTCTTCAACGACAATGGTCTTCCTGTGGAAGAGTCCGTGTGTCCTGTGCTCAAGTGCAAGATCTTTCAGGTAGCGCTGGCAAGAGGCCTCACGCCGGCCACCTTAATTAAGCTGACAATTTAACCTATCTATACTCTGTTCACATTTAAGCTGAGACTGCAGCCAAAGCTACGAGCGCTTCAAAGCAGCGACTTTAAGGCCAAACGCGGGATCGTTTGCGAACTGTGTGTTGTCATATATGTATGAGGACTTCTAATATGTAGCGCAACGGTTGCGATGCGTCTCCGAGATAAACATTATTCTGTGATGAAAGATACTCTGGCTTGCCTTGCCACTATTGTTGAAATTAAATCAATGTTGCACATTTTGGAACGGTTATCAGACGCTTTGCTTTTCTTTTTTTTCTTTAATCCACTAGCTGAAAAGTATTTTTGCTAGAAGTGTTACGACGCGTAGCGGTCTGCGCATGTCAATTACACAATGACGTTAGAAGAGTGGCTGGTTGGCACGTAATAAGGACTTTTCGCGAACCGTTACCGTGTTCCGCGTACCGCACTATACTGAAAATTATGATGCGTGCCATTAAGCGCGCGTCCGGACTGATGCCGTGACTGCGGGGTGGGTGCTCAAGACAAGGCTTTCCGGTACACCGGTGGTGCGGTGCGCGGAACACGGTAACGGTTCGCTAAAAGTCCCTAATAACAAACCTGGATCGCGTGTGCACATACCGTGCTTACTTGCATATGCGTAAGGTTTTGCATGTGTTTTATAGCGGAACCCCACGGAGCGAATATGCGACGAATGACTCACGGCTCGCTTTGCGCACGACGCAGCAGCCACACTATGATGATGCCAAGCGCATAGGAAAATCTTTCGGGCGAAATTCGTCCATTTGTTTTGCAGCTTATTCGCCCCATGGTGTTCAGCCTTAAAGAGAGCCCGTTTTCCGGAGAACGAATTGACGCACGTCACGCTGTCGGAGTCATTATTTTTTTCTTGTGTGTGTGTGTTTTTGTAGTGCATACCTGTTTTGAATAATGCCACCCGCGGTTATTTTCACAGACTCCCGATAAGAGGATTCGAATATTCGTCTGTTCCGTGCTCGACTTCAATGGGTGAGTGTTGCGCTCATTTCGCTTCGTGCAACCGTAAAGCCGGGGTCACGCGGCTCAGTGTCGTACCAACTTGTTTTTGAGTGGGGGATGGGGGGGGGGGGGGGGGGGGGGGAATTGTCTTCGCGCCTTCTCATTCGCTCCTCGCCGTTTTTATCCGCGAACCTTGGAATCTCATAGGCTGCCGAGCTACAATGAGATGCCAGGGTGTACCAAGTTCTGCGTTTCTAAAGTTTTCAGAGACATTGGGGAGTTTTAAAATCACGTACGACAATTTTAGCGCGTGCTAGCACTAAATTTGGCGCTTGCGTTATCGCACTCTACGCAAGAGTGTTTTAGAATAGTGTATAGTGTTTCTCTTCCGCGACGCAAAAAGGGGAGGAGGAGGAAACGGGAGAGGGTACGGAGTAGGAGGGGGGCATACCCTCCCCTCCGTACCCTCCCCTCCTCCTCCTCGAGAGTTGCGTTCTAATTTCGCATTACAGGGATTTGTAAACGTCTTTCAATTTTTATATATATCTGGAACCTTCTTTTTATTTTGAGAACGAACTGATTTCAACGCTGCAGTGTGCGATCTTATTTGTCTCGTTCTTACTTTTTCCTTTTTATTTTTTCAGATTATGCGCCGGAGAAATGGACATTGTTTGGGACAGGGGAGGGCTGTCCTCGATTGAGGAATCACTCAGAGAAAGGTAAGTTGTCGCTGCGTTCATTACGGTTCGTAAATGCGCTGAAGCAACGCTGCTGAAATGAATACATGCATCGTGTTAGGGATGGCAGCCAGCAACAAGATCGTGCTATAAAAAACAACTTGAAGAAAATATTTCATAAATCATGCAGCGCACAAGCTACTCTACGTTTACGAGCCATTTGTGTGCAACACGATCAAATTTATGTAACATAGAGTACTTGAGCGCAGCTTGGCAAAATCCTCCGTGTAAGGAAAGTACTGAGTGTTTGGGAAAACGGACAACAATGTTTTTCCTATCGCAGAAAAAAAAAAAAAAGACGTATTGTTGTGGTTTCAGTTTCTGCTCAAATGTTGCATTGGCGCCTTGGAATAGATACCAAAGTTTGAAAATTAATCCTTAATTTCAAAGTTATCAGCAATTCCATAAAATAATATATGGGAGACTTGGACGCGTTCCCGGTAGCGTTGGCCATTCGTTTCCTCCCATCCGCGGGATCGTGGTCGCGGTCACCATTTTTCCTTAAAGGAGCGGTGCAACGATATTCAATTGGAATCTTTTTCACTTGACATGAGCTTACTGGCACTAGTGGGACTCAAGGATACTCGCACGCAACGCCACTGACCAAGAAACTCCTTTGTTGCGGTGTAATTTCAAGGACAAAAGCGATCATTTTCATTCAATCTCTCCTCTGCAAAATTTAATGACGTAACGTGGAAATCGCAGTACACCCCAATGACGATATTTGAATGCGGTTCATAGATATGACCCAAGCATTGCGTGGGCACTCGATTTGGGCTCGTGACAATTGCTAGCTCGAGAAGCATTCGGGTAGTGGCCCGTGTCCAATCGCTGCAACGACAATAGCCGAGCCATAACAATGTCTGGAGCTCAGCGCGTGTCATATATGCTTTGCCAACCCCAGCGCGTGGCTGTGATCAACATTGGCGCCATATAATCGGCTCCAGATCACGTGGCCGCTTGTTCTGGCTGCGAGTTGAGGGGTTGAACGCTGGTCGTTTTTCTTTAGGTTTTTTCTGGGATTTCTATTGCGTGGGGGGAAAAACGAACGCGTGTTTCATAGGTCATTAACGTCAGAGCGGTATTTGCGCAAAGTACAAAAATTGTTGCATCGCCCCTTTAAACATTTTCAGAAATGTCTTGTATCTTTTGAATTAGCTAATTGACGGTGTGTTCTTAAGCTCAGCGTTTTGACCAGATTAACTTCTCTGTTCTTCCTTAACACACATCTTTCTTTGTCATTGATTATTTAACTAAGACAAATTAGATGACTGCCTAAACATTGATTGAAGGGCTCATGGGAAAGCCCGGATTGAAGTATTTGCGCATGACAAGCATTCCAAGCTTCCTTTTTTTTTCCGGCCGAAAAATAAAGTCCGCGAAACGTTCAACCACGGCCGGACTGGCAGCGCGCGCTCTCTTTTTCTTCTTACGGCCTTTGCAATCGCCCGGGAGTCAATGGCATTTTTTCTCCGTATGTAGTTCACTTGCTTGCCGCCAGGGGCGCAACCACCTCACCCCACTTAGAGTGCCTTCATACACACGCGCGCTTTTGCTTGAGTGGTGACATCTCAGCCATTTTTCCGCCCAGTCGTTTTTTTATGCATTTTGAAGTGCGCGCAATCCGGTGTCAGTCAGCTCGAGCGCGTAGCTTTGGCTAACGCATAGACGCCATTTTACCGCCCAAGTCACGCACCGAGCGCTCGAGAGCGTCACGCGCTGACACATCCAGGGCAACAATGGATGTCTTCACCCTGAAACAGACAGACATGTAGGCACCCTAACCCCACTTCACCCCACTTCAACCCACTCGGAAAGTCCTTTCGAGCTGCTTTGCGCTGGTTTTCGAGCTTCGTAGGTTGTTGGTTTGGCAACGGTTCCTCAGAATACTTCTAATTAACCATGCAAAGACGGTCACGGACAGAAACGAAAAATCAGCTATGCGCACAAGCCCTCAAGGAAGCACTTTAGACTGTAATATGCACTGTGCGAAAATTGGACGGACTACTACACCCTCGTCTAGAGCAGCTGACCGACTTCATGTGCGGTCTATGAAATGATGATGCAGACCACGGCAATAGATAGATTGTGCCTGCTTGCATTTCACGAGAGTGTACAAATTATTATTATTTAAAGTTCCTCCACGGGTAGAAGGGGTCCGTCTCCTCCTGTTCTTGAGTTGCAACCAGCGGCGTAGACTTTCCATTTTCCCGGGGGAGGGGAGGGGGGGGGGGGTTGAGTGGAGGGGGAGGGGGGAGGCTGCAGGGGGGCAGGTTGAGGGGGGGGTGCGCGTTACTTTCTCGCCAGAACTGGAGATTGAAAATAGATTGAAATGGAATCCACGCTGGGATTCCATTTCCTATATATATTTTGTCAAGAAAGGCAATGTGGGCGTTATTTTGTTTACATGCCACTACTAGAAGCTCGTTACATGGCACGTAAACAGTGTCTCGGTAAGGATCATGGCCCGGGCCCGGGAAAGAGCTCTGCCCCCCTTCCCCCCATCCCCCCCGATCTCACCAGGGGGGGCACAAGCCCCGATGCCCCCCCCCCCCCCCCGGCGTAGTCTACGCCTGCAATTGCAACAGAAGCCCTGGAGATAAAGACGAGTATAGCTTTTCCGCAATTGCATTCGCTGTCTCTACTTACTACTTTTTGCTCCCGAATCTCTCGGAGACGTGCGTCAAATACTCACCGTTTTGGGCTCATCAGAAGCGCATTAGATAGTTGCTGAGGGTCTAAACGTAAGGATCAGGTGTCAAAGGCTATAAAAATCCCGGCCTCATGTTGCGACAGCGCTGAGATACACTGTCAGACGCCCTCTGTGCAGACGACAAAGAGTAGCCCAGGGGTGAGGTGACAGCGCCCTTCGCGAATCGCGGCGGGATGTGGAGATTGCCCCAATTTCAAAGGCCGTAAGATGAGAAAGAGAACGCGCGCTTCCAGTCCGGCTGTGGTACAACAAAAATTACCACGTGAAAACTTTGGCACATTGATACTTTAGACCCATGTTGCAGTAAAAAAAACTATCTCCAAACTCCGGTCTAAAAACATGCTTTTCGTGCAAGGCTCGTCAAATTATGAGGCGCTGGAGAAATGCAGCCTTCTGCGTTAAGTCCTTATTTCGAACTCTTTTTGTTCGCCTTCCGCCCATTGAAAAGCATGCGGGAAGGGCTTCAGAACGCACCTGGTATCGCTGCGCCGCAGCGTTCTTCCGCATCAAAAAGTTCGTCTGCTTTCCTCGCCGTCACCATGGCAACGAACACCGAATGAATAGAAGCACGCACGGTACCGTCGCGTGAAGCTAGCAACAGCTGACGCCATTTTACGAACGCCGTCTACTAGCCAAAGCCGAACGCGGTGTGTCAGATCAACCGCCTCCGCCGGTGCGCCGCTAGCAAAGACGACGAAGCTGAGGCACGCCGACGGCGAATGGGCGAGCAACAGCACCGCGGGACGACTGCAACTGCGGCATTTATTTTGATCACAGGCGCGAAATAAGCAAGAACAATTTTTTTATTTGAATCATAACACCCGATATCCAAGTTGGGGACCACATACCTTTGCTGGGTCTTTCCTGTGAACTTTTCACAGAGACACGGGGTGCCGCATTAAAAACACAGCTCCGTTTGCAAAATATGGGGGCCCTGAAAAGGACCGTTTAGACCGCTGCCAGAACCTATAACTGACGTAACGAGCACTTGACGAGCGGTTGGCGCACAAGTCGTCTTTATGCATGCAGGCGGGTGACGGGCTCAGCGCAGCGGATCCCTCGAAGTCACCGTTGCCGTCAGAATTCTCGCCCTGTCTGCGTCGGGGCTCTAGATTTTGGCGGCCGCGGCGACGAACGACTGGAATCTATCAGTGTTTCCGCGCGCCTTGTCTCTCCTCCAAAACATGAACTTTGCAAGGTGACCAGTGAAATGGTGGCTCTCGCGCCGTCCAGATGGAAGAGAGTTTTTGACGTGGGCCCAGGTGCAATCCACCGTATTGGTGTGCGCACCAGTGTTCGCGTCGACAAAGTTAAGCTTGTGGTTGACGGTGAGGTGCGTGAAGCGAGCGTCATCTGCAAGCTTGCGATAGCCAGCCCAACAATCAGTGGCGTACCAACTTGTTTTTGAGTGGGGGGGCAAACCAGACCCTCTCCCCCCCCCCCCAAATCGAAAATTCGGCGCAACTTTTGTCCAACTTTTCTAAAGATTTGGCAATGATTCGGCAAAATTACAACGTTACCAGACTTAAAATTGATATTTTGTTTTTTCTCACGAAAAAAATTTTGCTTCTTCTTCTTGAAATAAATACAACTTGTAGTGCCTATTGAAAGAGTTATGACTAAATAAGGTGATATTCTAGAAGATAATTGTATCGATGTCGCTTTTGTGTGTTTACTTGTAATTTTGGTGTATGCTTCCAGAAAGTGGCGTGACAACGAGGTTGGGTAGTAGCCGGCACAGTCACGAATCACACTGCGAGAGCTTTGATTTTGAGGCTTCATCAGCGAACGCCTGCAAGTGTGTTTACATTGTTAAAATAAAGGCAATCACTGCGTTCTTACTTTCTCTGGTAGTCGCCGTTTCGTGCGCGAAAACGGATGCAACGGTTGCTGAGCCTTCACCAGAAGAGATAACAATATTGTAAATATGCATGTTTTTCGATTTGAGTCACTTGACGTCAGCTTTGCATGAAAGTGCGCGTTCCATATTCGCAACGTGCCGTTTTTAACCTTTAAAATTCCGGTTTCTGGTGTTCGGACACACACGGACGTTTAGGAAGATGGGGAGAGTTAGGAATGGTCGGATGTGCAACGTCGACCATGATAGTTCTGTGTTTAACGAATATTTTTCATCAGTGTTTACTAACGAGTGCTTGGACTCCGTCCCCACTCTCCCTGGAGAGCTTTACGAGCGTATGCATCCTATTAACGTTAACTCCGCCGGTATTATAACATTGATTGATAAACTAAAACTTACTTCGTCCGCTGG